AAGTTGGAAAATGTTTTCTTTTTCCACCCATTTTCCATGCTATCAAACATGGCCTTAGTGTTCTAAGGTTATCTCGTACAATTACTTAGCAAAATAGAACTGTTGTTAATTGATTGAAGCAAATTCCTATCGTCTATTGGATGAATCCGTTTCATTCGTCAATGCATTTTTTTTTCAAATATATGTACTTATTGATACATTTTGTGCCTCGTGTTCAATGACGACTATAAGCAACTAAATATATCCAAACCATAGTCACAAACAAATCAACATTGCTAGATACAAATGAAGTATTTTCCATATTTTTCTATATTTTATTGACTTACTAAAATATTTTTCATTGATTTGATATTAGAGTTTTGGAAAAAAGATAACAAATTTTATAATTTACATATACAAAAAGAAAAATCATCCTTCAAGGAAAAATGTGTTAAATGAAAATTATTTATTTGAAAATAGTATGCAAAATGCTATGTTTGATGATATATAGGGCGCGATTGATATTTCAATTAAGAATATTTTTATTTGTTCAACTATTTATAATGACATATTTATAAATTTTCAGGGTACTTCTTGTAAAATTATTGTGCAAATTATAGTATGTAAAATATAAATCTATAAATCATGATATGCATATTGTAATTACATCTTTTATATATAGGGTGTATTTTGTAAATTTTCATTTTTAATAAATTAGGATGATATTTTAAAATCATAGTTGAATAGATTGTTTTAGAGAAGTTTAAAATATTAATCTAAAAAATAGTTGTAAAATAGTTAAAAAATAATTTTCATTAATAAGTACTTTTTCGAGATTAAAGAAAAAATTAATTGAGAACTCACTCTATTTGTAAATGTTCGAAAATAATAATTTGTACGTGTTTTATTCAGCATATTCGTGGTATGATTGTCTACTCAAATCATGACATTGCAAATCACGACATTTCAAACGTCGAGAGCATGTTTGGTACAAATTCTCATTTTCTACAGTAAATCAATTCTCATTTTCAACCACACATTTTTCAATAAAATAATATTTTCCATCACATCAATTTTTTTTTTCTTTTTCAATCACACATTTCACATCATATCACTATTCAAAAATCAATTTTTCTCCCAAAAATCTCTACCAAACACACTCCGAGAGTCAATAAGAAGCATAATATTTTATTTTATTTTCATATTTTATCATAAAATAATGCCTCTATTTGGATTCCATTATTTCACATTTTAGTCTATTTAAGTCACATTCTCATTTTCATTCGCATTCTTCTACTCATTTTCAACCATACATTTTTCAATAAAATAATATTTTCCATCACATCAATAACTTTTCTTTCTTTTTCAATTACATATTTTCCATCACATCACAAAAAAAATGCATTCTCTTATTAAAAAATGTGCATCAAACACACTCTTAACGAGAATAATAATAATATTTTGGAGAATGTGCGGTCAAAAATGAAGGAAAATTTTTTAAATTTATATTTAATATTATTTTATTAAAAAATATGTGATTGTTGGGAATATGGAGCAAAATGAATTTTAATTTAAAGGTACAAACAGGACTAAAGTAATTCAGACATACACTTGCAGTAAATCAGACGTACATTCACACAATAGTGCCCCCATCCATCCAGCTCCGCCACTAACCACCGCCGCAGGAAAGAAAAAAAAAAGAAAAAAGAAAAGAGGAAAGAAAATTTACTTTTAGCCTTTACAAAGGAGTAGTTTTCTTTCTGAGAAGAAAGTAGTATTTATCTCGGTTTAATCCGAGACTGAAATGTGGAGGAACCACCATGGATTCATCAGCATCATCATTTTTTGAAAAATCCCAAAATGTAAATCTAGGGTTAGGACTTATTAACCCAGAATCGACTCTGATTGATCCGATCAGTGATCAAGGTGGTGAAAAGGAGGTTCAGGTTCTTGATCCCCAAAATGCCCCTGTGGGGAGGAATGATCTACCAAACGGTATTGATGAAGAGGTGAAGGAGAAGGCCGTTGAAGAGGAAGAGGTGAAATTGAGGGATGCCATTGAAAGTGAGATTCATCAGCTGACTTTGGAGCAGGCAGAGATTGAGGCGGCTTGGGAGGAGGGACCTGGGCTTAATGGTGATTATAAGGAAGGGAATGGGGTAAAAACCGCGGAAAATGAGAATGCTGATGAAGAAAACGGTGTAGAATATGAGGTGAATAAGAACCGGAATAAAGAAAAAGATGGACAAGATGTGCAGAATTGGGAGGAGGAAGATAGAGATGAGGGTTATAATGAGAATGAGAGTAGTGACGAAGAGTATGAGAGGGAAGGGGAGTCAATGGATGCAATGTTGAAGGGAGGAATGAATAGTGATTATAATAGTAGGAGGTCTCAGTATCCAATGAGACCCGATGCAGAGGAGTGTTCATTCTATATGAAAACAGGGTCTTGTAAATTTGGATCGGGTTGCAAGTTTAATCACCCTGCCAGAAGAAAGCATCAGGTTTATACGTACATCTTGATGAATGCATTTGCTTGTGCATCAGTTTATGAATTTGCCTTCATGTGTTATTTTCCATCACTTGGCTTTCATTAAATGAAACTGCTATAATTTTTCTATGAAGAGATTTGTTAACAGAATAGAATTTGAAGGTCTGTCCCGATATTTCGTCGATTGTGTCTTGTTTTCTTGATATATTGGTTGGATGTAATGGTTTCGGCATAAGTGTTTGCTCATTGAAATTGATGAAAAATAATGACTTAGATGAGTTAATCATTGATAAATCTTTAATCTCGTACTTAGTATTTATAACCTGAGTTGATTCGATTAATTGGAAGATAGTTCACACAAGTCTGCTTGAGTGATGCATTGGAGTCATTTGATTGATCAAAAGCTGTTGAATCTCTTAGAATGTAGTAAGTTGGGGTCGATTTTATCAGTACATACACTGTATCATCTTCTTCTTATCTTTGATTTCCGTGTTATTATATAGATACAAGTTGCTAGGTTGGTAAAAACAGGGTCTTTTGCTTCTTAAAATAATGACACTAAAGGAGTGATTTCAATCACTTTTTAATTTTTAAAATCTTGACTGCAATAAGTTCAGTGTTCAATGATTGTGTTTTAGAGATTGAGTTAGTAAAAGTATTTGTAATTGGATTGTGTGGTATTGTTGACTGTTCCAGAAGAAAGAGATGTTTGTACAAGTAAATGTAATAATTTGAAGAATCGTGTGTGCATCTGTAGACATCTGCATGTTTGTGTATGAGTACTTCTTGTATAGCAGCAACTCATTTTTATATTCCCTAAACATGGTCTGTGATGCACATTCTACATTGATTCAAAATTTTTGCATATTAGCCCCTGTTTGAGCCCCATTATAAGGGGAAAATAGATTTTTCAAGTGTTTTTTTCGGAGAATGTGTGGTTAAAAAATATGTGCAAAAATGTTTTATTGCAAGAATATGTGGTTAAAAATGAGTTTGAGGAAAAATGAATTTTTAGATGATGGAGCTCAAACTGGGGCTTAATTTCTTCCACTTGTTGCAATATATGAACAGAGATAAATTTGTTTCATTAACATTCGTGCTTTCATTACTAAAGATAATGAAGTTGTTACCATTCATTGCTTATGTAAATCTTCTCGCCTGTTGTGGAGTTTAGCATAGTATTGTTACTTAGTTTGACATCTTGGAAATATTTATGATTGATTTAATTTACTTAATATTTCTTTTACCCATGGATGAATTTTCTTTTGAAGGATGTCAAGGAGAGAACAAATCAAAGGGAAGGAAACCCAGAAAGGGCTGGACAGATTGAATGCAAGGTCATTATCGAATCTGCTGTGTTTTTTTGTTTTTTGTTTTTTTGGGGGCTTTGATCATCAAATATATTTATCTATGAATTTTGTGATCTTATTTCCTTCAGGTAATTTTGTTGATATGAAATCTAACATAGATTTGCCTGCTGTGGTTGCTTCTTAGTGTCATCTTGCCATAATAATAATGTGTAATTGAGGAATGATTTGCATCTATACAGGAATCTAAGCCTGCAAATTAGAGTAGGTCTCAATGTTTGAATATCTACTGAAAATAAATAAAAAGACCAATGGAGTTATTCGATAGAGTAATTGATATTCATCATCAGTAGAAATGATCGCCTCTCTAGGTGATAGTAGGCCCCTTAATTTATTTCCAATGCATTAAAATGCAAAAATTACAAATCCATTGGACAATGAATTAGGAGCCAAACCGATAATCATGTCTAATAATGATGAATAGCATTGCTCTATTCAATATTATGGATTATTCTTTGAAGTATAATAAAGAAATAAGTGATGCCTGAATGCTTTATCGGGGATAACTAATAAGTTTGTTTATTAGTGATAAAAATTGAGTGAGACTATGTCTAAATATAGTACAAGAAAATCTGGAATTGCTGGAATTATAGATAAACAAATAAGAAGAGTAATAGTAAAGATGAAATGGGGAGTTGAGCGAGAATGGATTACCATATAATGGTTGAGCAAAATCACACAAAGTTAGCATTATAGATCTAAAAGGCTTCTACAATAAACTAGGATTTCAAATAGGAAAACCGTTAATTAAATAATTTTAAGAGTCTAAGACTACTCCTATATGGCTAAGCCTTCTTTTGGCTGAACTTATACATTATTTATAAATAGTCAAACATTATTTTCAAATTCACATTCTATTGGACCCACAAGTACTATCAAATATCAATTTATCCATTACTCATTTTTTTTTATTTATAAATTAAACCGCTTATAAATTCTTCACATACGGAGGCTAAGAATTTCAAATAAAACTGAAATAGCAGCAAAAATCCGAACTGAAGATTCATGGATAAAATGAATGCAGATCTGGAAATTTACCAAAAAAATAGTAGGAGAATGATAGATTCTGCTGGAACCCAGTGCAATCGATTATCACAGGATGAAATTAAAATTAGAAAGAGGCAGAAATTGTAATGAGCAGCTGAGAAGAAGTAATTATTTAATTGAAGTTGAATGCTGAAATTAACAGACTTAGAAAAGAACAAAAGCAAGGCAGGTTTCGAGAGCTGCCCCTCTCCTAACTGATTCAGTTTTCTCACATTTCAGAATGCCTTCTAGATCCCTCACTTAATTACATTTCAGCCCCTCATATTAACTATATCTCTCTCTAATTCCCATTATGCCCTTTCTTGTGGTGCCTCTGATAAGTGAACCGTATGGTAGGTTTATCAGAGAATTTGAAGACTCTAAAAACATGATATCTCCTAAATAATAAAATTCTAGCTGTTTTATTGACATGAAACTTGGCTCAGCTTTCAGCCTGAGCATGATAAAATTGAGGGAGGATAGGTTTTACGAGTCCTATAGGACTGAGTACTTCAAGTATTTAAAAGATTACTGCAGAAACAAGGCATAAGTTTCAGCTTAAGATTCATAAAATTGATCCAAAGTCTTGTGTAGGTAAAAATTAAAATGAGCTCTTTCGTTCATGTTCTGCGCTCAGGTGTGCTATAATGTTTGTATATTTACATTTTCTTTTTTATTTTGAAGTGTCTTTCGACGATGGGTTTGTCAAAATGCAAATATATTCATTTACTGAAGTGTTTGTCATTTTTCTCCATTCCGTATTGGTTACCTAGTTTTCCTCAGTGTGTTTCCCCGAAGCATATTATCCTTTCATAAAGCAAAGCTCTTGATATCCACTTTTGTTATCATTTTAAGTGGTGCTTCCATGCAATATGCTATTCAAGCTTTAACTTCTGTACTAGATAAAACACTGGTAGCTTTTTATCTGATACTACTTTTACTTGCACTCTATGCAGTATTACTTGACGTCAGGTGGATGCAAGTATGGAAAGGCTTGTAAATACTATCATGGCACGGGCAAAAGCCCAATAACCGCTATTCCGGAGTTCAACTTTTTAGGCCTGCCAATTCGACTGGTATAGTTTCTTTGTACAGTTCAAATTTCTCTTATGTATTCCTGATTTGCTTTTTAAAATTTCCTCCAGTGTAGGTTTGTTGTGGATTCAAATCCATAAATAGTTCCTCTAATCAAGTTAAACTAGACGATGATTTTCGACAAAAAAATAAACATTTGGATATAACTGTTTTCTATAGACAAGAAACAAGAATCCAGCCTTGTTTGGCTATGAGTATGTTTGGGAGTAACTTGTGGGATTTTCTTATAAGCCCACAAAGTGTGGGACCCACACTTTGCGTGGCTTATAAGATGGTGTAAATAGGTGAACCCCAACTTATGGCATCTTATGAGCCACAAATAGAGTGCGTCCCACACTTGTGTGGGCTTATAAGAAATCTCATAAGTTGCTCCATAACAAGCTCCATAATATTAAACGACCCACACTTTGCGTGGCTTATAAGATGGTGTAAATAGGTGAACCCCAACTTATGGCATCTTATGAGCCACAAATAGAGTGCGTCCCACACTTGTGTGGGCTTATAAGAAATCCCATAAGTTGCTCCATAACAAGCTCCATAATATTAAACCTAATTCCAAATTTAAATCTAGTAGTTTGAACAAATATAGATGCTTAAAAATGTATTTATCTTTAAGAAAAAAGATTCACGAGCAATAAGAGCTGTAGAAACAATTTTTGGAATAAATTGAAATGCAGATTTTATTTATTCTCAATGGCAGCAGTACTGCAATAGCAACAAACTAAAGCTTATTCCCAATAAATTTGGGATAAGCTACATGAATTCTTTTAGCCCATTTGACCACTACCTTTAATAGTTTCCATAATTAAAAATTTCTCATTAATGAGTTAAAAATCTTTTAGTCTGTTCAAAATACAAAAAGATTTTTTCGTCACAGGGAGAAAAAAGGTGTCCCTACTACATGCGCAATGGGTCCTGCAAGTATGGTTCAAACTGCAGGTTTCATCATCCCGAACCTACTGCTGAGCCAGGAGGTGACCCCCCTTCTGGATATAGTAATGGGGGATCTCTTCCACCACAAGGTTTTCTCTCGTCATCCACCTCTTCTTGGTCTTCACCAAGGGCATTAAATGAGACTGCTTCTGGTGTACCATTAATGCTTCCTGCAACTCAAGTCATACCTTCTCCAAATCCAGAATGGAATGGATATGAGGTAATTTTTCACTGTTTCAGATTACATTATGGATCGTTGTTGTAGATAGTGTACTCTCAATTCTTTGTGCAAATTAAGCAGTTCCAATCATTCAGTAGGCATCATTTTCAGAGATTAGTCGAAAAAGCATTAATTGTTATAGGATCTCAGTAGAACATGTTAGAGCAGTAGACCAAAGTTAACACGATGTATTGTGGTTGCAAAAGATCTAGTTGCATTGGATCTTCCATTTTAAGTAGTAATGAAAACCAAACAGAATAAAGAAAAAGATTCACGACTCCAAATTTATTGGGAATAAGGCTTACTTACATATGTGCCGATGCTTATTTGACCTGCGATTAGATAACATATTCAGTTGACGTAATGAAGCAATATCTGACCTTTGAGATTTGATTGTTAAATGTGATACACTATCACTTGTAAGTGATGCTTTCTTCTGTCATTTACCACTATTCTCCTGATGCCACACTATTCTACACAAAGTTTACTGGCTAAAAAGCTTGTCGGTTTGGTTAATTTCACTTCAAATTGTGACTTATCAGATACATGTTTCTTCTGCTCTCATCTGTTCCTTTTCTTTTTGGATTAATTGAGGCTGCAAACTACCCATCATCAGAGAGGAGCTTACCTACACCTCCAGCATTTTCCATGAACAAGTTACTGAGTAATATGAACTTTACATATCACCACCAACAGGAGGTGGTAATTGAAGAATATCCAGAGCGCCCTGGTGAACCAGAATGCAGTTTCTTCTTGAAAACTGGAGATTGCAAATATAAGTCAAATTGCAAATTTCACCATCCAAAGAAACGCATCTCAAAGCCAAAGACAAACCCATGTGCTCTAAATGACAAAGGCCTTCCCCTCAGACCTGTAAGTTTATTTGTCTACAAATTCATGGACTATGTCATTACAATCTTTGTGTATGTGAAGTATGGCCCTTTATTATACAGTGTTCTTAGACTTATTTCAAAGATCAGCTTTAACTATTGAGCTAATTGTGCATAAAAGCACTCATAACCCATTTTGCATAATGAAGGATCAGCCCATCTGTACAAACTACTACCGATTTGGTATTTGCAAGTATGGACCCGGTTGCAGATTCGATCATCCGGCTAACTTTGCTACCTCACAGCCACCACCTTATGATCGGCCTCCATTCAACTCTCAAACTCCTGATGGAGCAGGAATCATCACAATGAAAGGAAGTGGAAGTGGGTCTTCAATGTAGCAATCTAAGATTATCGTTACATCTCGTCTATAGGTTAAAATCACCAGGAATTAAACTAACTAAAGATCAAAGTTTCTGCTTGATTTTGGTATTTATCTGAACCACAGCAGTTAAGAGACTGGACTTTCATGTTTTATATTTGTTGTGTGTTATTGAAAGCTCAAGCAGAGGATGGATTTATATATTATGTGCTTTGTAGGATTACAAAATATAGAATGCTATGTTTCTGTGGCTGATTTCCTTCTTTATTTTATTCTCTGTCGTCTCTTCTTGAATGTTTGGTACCAATACCGAGCCCCTGTTTGTTATCCATTTTTTCGAAACTCTTTTTTTTCCGTACTCATTTTCAGCTACACATTCACACAATAAAATATTATGCACGTGAACTCTGAAGTTTTTCCTATTTTTCAACCTCATTTTCCAAAAAATCACTGTTCCAAAATTTATTTCCCCCAAAAAAGCTCTCTTTAATGGCTACCAAACAGGGGCTGAACAAGAATGGACGATATAATTGTACAGTGTTATTCGATCATCTTTACCCCCACACATTAAAGTTTAAATGGACACTTGCGAATTCCAGTTGACTTGGCTCCAAGAGATGAGCGGGCAACCACCAAGGACTAATGGTGTCCTACAAAATGTAAATAAAAATAGACTATTTGTGCATCCTACAAAATTTAGGAAGAAAAAGCATATCCCAGTTACATTTTTTGTTATAATCAATTAAATTACTTTTTATCCACATTTCACGAGGCATACAAATACTAGTCATTAATACATCTCTCGTTGCTATTTATTATAATTTAAACCGATTTTAAACCATTTTTGAACATTCTATTTGACCATTTTAAATTATAATTTAAACTTCATACGTGCAGGTATCAAGGAATTTAAAAACAGGAGACATACTAGACCCCACCCCAGAGAAAAACAATCAATGTGCCTTGTAATACAGTGAATTGTCCATTTTTCAGTCCTGTCTAACATTGCGTACCGAAACGTGCTTTTCTTTTCTGTAACTTCATTATATTTTACACGACGGCCCACATAGATCGCCTCGCCAAGATCAAGTGTCTAGTACTAGTCAACAGACAATAAGATACAACGAATGCCTCTTTCCATAAACAACTCTAGTCCGTTGCCCAGGATTAAGATCACATACGAAGAAGTTCATATACAACAATTTTCGAAATATTGATTTCAAGTTGCCATATTTTCCTCAACTATCTCCCGATATGTTGGAAAAATTCGGAACAGAGTACCATGATACAAAAGTAAAGAATTCACGTCTCAACGAAACAAACACTACAGACCAGCTGGCTTCTCTAGAACTAAAACGAGGAGGCCTGAACATTAGCTTTGTTACCAGCAAGGATAAGAGAAATCTCCAAACCCCGACTGAATGCTTGATTAAAGAGTAGGCGCGATTGAAAGGTGGAGACAAATGGAAACCAAGACAATATGGCTATAGGGGCAAATATAAGTATACCCATTCCAGCATCATACATTCGAGAAAACTCCTTCACGGAATCCCAAAGCCCTAAGCTCCTCACTATCCTCTTCCAAGTGATAGCCAACTGTGCAAGTAATGGGCAAAAGTTAGGATTATCGGGAAAACAATCAGAAGGAAAAGAAAGAAAACGTGTTTCATTGTTTAGTGCATGTTTGGCAAAGCTGCTTATTAGCTGGTCAAATTATTTTTTTATCTGTGCGCATTCCGTAGGACCCACAAAATTTACCTACATTTACCCACTTATTAAAAGCTTTCCCAAACATGCTCTTAATTCCTTAAAAGGGCCAACAGATGCAACACTAAAAGGATAATAACTTACACAGATAATGCACCATCCAGTGGGAATAAACGCAAGAATGCCAGCGAACAAGTCCGCAACAGATAGGTCAGTGAAAACGACGATAAGGCAAAGGGCTACAATAAGCCCCAAGCTAGTAACTCCTTGCATAAACCGGAGCATCAACTGAAAATTAGTGGACTTCTTGGGGCTAAAGGTAAAGATCTGAAAAAAATAGAAGTAAAAAAATGAAGCAACTATTTAATTATAGAGACAACACTAAGTTATGCAAAGTTTAACTAAACTAAAAAACAAAGAGAAGATACAAACCTTAAAGATCATGACTATTCCCGCCAGTGCAACCCAGGAGAAGCCATAGATCTAGCAAAAAACAGTAAAACAGATTAATAAAAGCACATATAATTTGAATCCGGAAAAAATAAACCAACCTCATATCAAAAGAATCTCTAGAATAGTTCGTTCCAGCAAATACTCAGTACTGGCACAATTAGAAATAACACGAAAATGGTTTTGAGAGAAGTGGAAGAGACTGGGTACTAACTTGAAACAAAGAGCATAAAACATGAGGAACATTTACGCTATCAAAATAAATAATTTAACCAAACCATCACAATTTTGATTCATGCGAATGTATCATAAGATTGATTCTCATTAAACACTTGGAACAAATAGCAGCACCAACTCTTGCACGTAGAGCAGTCGTCCCATTACAATTTAAAAAGGTCGTAATATTGAATGTTGTAAAAAGGCATGAAATAGTACTTAACTTGGTAACAGATAATCATTCCAAATTAAAAACCTTGGATAAGCTTGTATAACAGAAATTGGGAAAAAAATTGATGGGACTGCAACCATAGATCATGTGAAAACATTCATCTCCATTTCTTCTGATGATAAAAGACGAAAATCATTTGAAGAAAGGGGAAAAGAAAATATCTTTTACAAATCACAAAAGAATCTTGATATTTGTTCTTGTATCATACTCATCCTGTCATCCAAAATACAAAGGAACAACACAAACATTCTGTTCCTAAATTTTATTTTCCCTCATTTACCTGTGAAACTCATGGCGACTAAAAATTTTCAGCTGCCCAAAAATCACATTGAAATAGCACTTGAGCAATGTTTATTTTCTTTAAATATAGACAAGTTCATTATTATCATCTCAACAGAGTAATGTGGGGCATAAAGGAAAAACATTTCTATTAAGAAAAATTTAACACCAGATATACAACTGGACAGGTTAGGCCTGCAGCATCAATTGTCAACAAAATTTAGCAACATTTCTTATATTCATATCAGCAAGATTCAGTTGAAACAAAATAAATGACACACTTAATTAAAATAAAGAATGAGAAAAAGAACATTCAGCCATAGAAACAGGAAAATGGATAGTATACCGCAAGTGATGTGTCCTTCCCAGTAAGATGGAGTTTGTATACAATGCCATACTGAAATATCAAAAATCTCAAGCTCAAAATTGTTTCAAGTATCCGCCCTCTCAGTGTTTGGATATGCATCTGATGAAGAGAGAAACAATAATGAGAGAGAATAGAGGCTGCTAAGAAACTAAAAAATTGGCTATAAATTGGAAAGCAATCAATAAAGGAAAAAAGAAAACCACCCCTATGATGGTAGGTCCATTGCATGTGTTAGATTCATAGCTTGTCAAAAGAAATAAGGACCTAACGAAATGCTAAGATGGTGATTCAAGCCTATTAATCGTGCATCCTATTGGCTTCCACGTCATTCCAAAGCTTGTTGCTCTTTAGAGGAATGGTGGAAAGTGTTGCACTAATATGTAAATTAGACGATATATCGATATCAGTTATGATATTACTTCCACAATCCTAGAAGCAAACCTGTTCTTCATCCCACCAAGACTCCCAACTGTTCTCCCCTTTAATACCAACTCCACCTTTGTACATAAGCCAATTGGTCCAATCATCAAAATCCTCCACCGTCCTGCACATTGCAAGCTAAAGTTGTAACAACAGCAAGAAAAGATAAGCCCGTAGCAGGACTACTTGCACCAAGAATGAGCATGAATTGCATTCACAAACTACGCAGAAAACTAGTAAACAAAGGGACACTAAATCGAACAACATTTTCTGGTAAAGCTTCAACTTACTTTTGCCATTCGAATCCAGAGGGATTGAAGATATAAGGTGCAAAGAGCCAAGAGATGACCATAAACCAACTGCTCAGAGTTAATAGAACATAGGAGACAGCACCTCCTTTTGTGTACCCATATGCAATGTAAACGATAAGAAGTAATGCAACTTCCAGTCTGTAGGGCAAATAATGATAGCCAATGAATATATATACACAACACTACAACATGCATTTTATGATCACAAGCATTTAATTGACTGCACAAAAGTAACTCACGCCTTGACAAAATGGCTCCTTGAATAAAGCCTATAATTATCAGCAAACTTGATGTGACGGACAACAAAACCTCTTCCAGTTGCTCGATACTGGATAAATATAATCAACATCAGATATGACCAATTATGCCATGAGAAATATCAATACCCAATTGAACACAACAGTCAGGTAGAAGATACCTTTGCACCTCCATGGAGGATAGTACGCCCAAAATAATGAGTTCTAGTCCCTAATGAGAATGTAAAGAATACAGAGCAAAGCTGGAATTGCATCGTGATGAAACTGAAAATAGCCTGCAAATTTGTAAGATTGGGGACCATGAGCATAACCCAAATAAACATTATAACTTTAATGCATGGACCAGCTAACATACTAGCAATTTACATCTTCGATGTAAATATCTGGCAACCTAAAGAATTTCTGATCACACAACAAATGGAAATAAAATATGAAGTAAAAGGATAGTCTTACTTATCCAGTAAGAAATGGTCAACATAATAAGGGCAATAAAGAAAGAAAATTAAGTGAACAGACCTTCAGCAAGCCCAGTTCAAGTATAAACCCCATAACCATGGGAACTGCAGTGAAAACTCCAATCTGGACCAAAAATTGTGCATTCAGAACTGCATCTAGTGCAGTGTTACCCAACAGTCTAGCTTCCTGAGAAATTCCTTGATCAAGTCCAGAAAATGCCTGAAGAAAATAGAAGGAAATGGTTGATAGATTGATATATGATGTAACATAATTTCATAATAGGCCAACAGATGTTAAAAGAAAGTACGCCCATACCACATCCTC